CTGATCTAAGCTGCAGGGTCCCTTCTTCCCTGTCCCAGGGACCCTGGAGGAAACCTCTCGGACAGCACAGCCATTTCAGCCCCGAAGAGGAGGGCCAGAGCAGAGACCAGATGAGCACCGGCCAGCCAGGCCCTGGAGAGGAACTGGTCCATCAGAGGGGACAGCTAACCAGGACAGAAGTTCCTTCTCTCTCTCTTTTTTTTTAAATCCTCACCTGAGGACATTTTTCCATATTTTGTTCAGAAAGAGTGTGTGTGTGGGGGGGGGGAGAAACATCGACATGAAAGGGACACATCAAGTGGCTGCCACCTGCACGACCAACCAGGGCCAGGAACAAACTGCAACTGAGGTACGTGCCCTTAGCGGGAACCAAACCCGGGTCTCTCTGGACCGCAGGCCGATGCTCTAACCGCTGAGCCAAACCGACCAGGGCGTTTCCTTCTCCTCTTATCCTGAAATTAGCAAACGGTTCCTTTTCTGCAGAGCTCAGAACTTCTGCACAGGGACACATCACCATACCCAGGAGGAGCTATCAGGAGACTCCCGTTTGGCACTCGTGGAACTGGCAGAGAGAAATGGCTTGACCCTCCAAGGCAGTCCCCAGGGACCGGAGCAGGAGGGGTTGGTAGCCCAGCTTTGCAACCTATTGGGTTCCACCATCCTCCCACTGACAGCCACCCACACACAGATGCAGCTCCACCGGGGACTGGGCAGTGACTACTGGCCTCACAGCTCCTGGCCAGTCAGTACCCCAGGTCAATCAGCTGGCCTCTTGCTGACCACCAGTCACCAGGCTTCACGTGGCCAGGCTCTCCCTGGCTGGGCCAGGCCTCTGAGCCTCAATCTCTGCTGTCTGGGGTATCCAGGGGAGCCCAAGCCCTAAGGGGTGGGGGGCTCCACAGCACAATACCCACCAATCAGGCTGACCCCAGCAAGGTGTGGCTGGTGACTGAAGAGCCACACTGGCCCAGTTCCACCCCTCACTGACTGACCTGTTCAGTCAGGCCTTTTCTTAGAGCCTGTTTCCCCATTTATAAGATGACCAAAAAATTCCACACCCCACAAGGACTGTGGTGGGGATCAATGAGATGACATATGTAATGTCACCCGATACACCGATGGACAGCAAAGGTTCAATAATTACATCCCAAATGCAAGAATCGAGAGATCCAGATTCCAGTGTGTGGTATGTGAGAGGGACCACTGGCCTCTGCCCTAGGACCTTCCAGAGGCAGGGCCAGAACCACATACTCCGAAGCCAAGCCCACCGAAGACCCTGTTCTCAATGCTGTCAGATGACCACTCCACAGCAGACTGTGCCCGCAGGACGACAGCCCCAGGATCACCCAGTCTGACCTCAAGGTCACTGCTGATGCCAGGAGCTGCCTCCCTCGGTCCCTGCAGCAGAAGACCAGGCCCTGTGCTGCCAAGGGTGTGTTGGGAGCCAAACTGGGCCTTTCTGACCCATGGCAACACCCCTGCTGGTCCTACAGATGGTGACCCCCCCCTTCCCCTGCCGCAGGCGGCTCCATCTGCTGGCCCAGCTCAGATTGCAGGACTTCCAGACCCGCTGTGGCCCCAGGCATTGTAAAGCGATCTGGCTGCCCACCGGCTGCAGCCCTCACAGCAGCTGAGCCAGATGGGCCAGGGAACCAGCTAGAAGCTGGTGGGGCCCGGACACAAGACGCAGGGGCGGCAATGCGGCTGCAGTGCCCGCTTTTCCCATATTGGCACTGCACATGATTGCTCAGAGCGGAGAGACACAAGCAAAAATGTGCTAGTGCCAAAATCGGCCAAGCAGATGGTAGTGGTGCAGGCCCTCTGGGGACACGCTGGAGGCTCTCGGCATCCCTGCACCCCTGGAAGCAGCCCGTTTCCGACGTCCAAGCCCACTGCAGGGCTAGAGGGGTGAGGTGCTCCTGAGACACTCGTGGATCTGTCTCTGCTCTGTTTATGGCCCTTCGGTAATTCACTGACCGAGACTGTTCACAGTGAATTCTACCAGTGCCATACACAGAACAGGAGTCGCACTCTCCGGCCTGCAGACCCTGCAGAGAGACTCCTGCCGCCAGCTATCAACAGCCCTCCAACAGCCCTCCTTGCCCCACCCCTTCCCAAGCTTCCCAAGCCTTGACGACCTTCCAGGAGCCAGTGGCACTGGGAGAAGGGCTGAACTCCTGGCTTGGAGAGGGTGGGGGGAGGTGTCCAAATCAAGGTGTTTCTGATCTCAACCTGAACGCCCGCCTACAGTCCCTCCACCCCCACCCAGCCCACCCTTGGTCAGGATGGAAATCCAGCTCGGAGTAGCAAACAGCTTGTCAGATTTTCATCTCTGTGTCTGAGCAGATACCAGCAGTACTGCTCCAAAATGCCTAGGTCTCCACCATCCTTCATCCCCCAGCCAACCCTGTGGCAGAAACAGAGCCCCAGGGGGGAAACCAAACTTGCTGTTCCCCATACTCCCATCCCAAACCAGACCAGACCATGAACTGCCCAGGCTGGACATCTCTGCTGCCGGCCCACGGCCAGGACAGAAGGGCAGGTGGGCAGGAAGTCCCATGGCCAAGGAGGCCGAGGAGGCACAGCTAACCTCCAGCCAGGGGAGCGGCTTCTGGCTGGCTCTGAGGGGACTGCGGAGCAAAGCAGAGGCAGGGAGACAAGGGAGGAGCCAGGAAAGGTTGCATCAGTGGTTGCCAGAGTGGCTGCCTTGAGAGAAGTCGCCATAGTAGCGGCCCCTGCCTCTGGTGCCCAGCACCCTGGGGAAGGAGGGAGAGGAAAGGAGTGTGGGAGGGAGAGTCAGTCTCTGGGGAGCTGGCATCCAGGGCAGGAGGGCTGAAAACTGCAGAACAGCTGTCTCAGCCTGCTCCAGTCCAGCCTGGGACCCAGGGGGCAGAGTGGCCAGAAAGTACCCTGGAAGGGTCATCGAATTCCCTGGCACAGAAACTCCCTCCCTGCCATGCTTCTCCTTAGAGCTGCTAGGAGCCTTGCTACCTCTGGCACCTCCCCAAACCCTCATCCACTATACCATCATCACATGTGCCCAAGGGGCCCAAATCACTGCTCAGTGCACCCCCCCCCCCCAGAGACTCCTGCCCTGCTTCAGCACATGCCCACTGCTCTGGTCTTCCAGGGGCCAGCCCAGTGGGATGGAGGTCTTTGGAAGTCACTCCCTGGCATTCTGCCTCAGTTTCCCTCACTACAACTCTGAACTCAGCTAAAAAAAAGGAGAAGGGACAGAATATCTCCCAACCTGAGTGGCGGGACCGTTAGCAAAGACTGAGTGCAGTGGAGGTAGTTAGATACCCACAGAGCTCAGGCAGTTACCGGCAGACTCACCCCAAAGGCCATTGTAATGCAGATTTGGGCCCACCCCAAAAATCCTAATTTTAATAAGTACCCAGGCAATTCCACTCCGGAGGTGCAGACCCTCCAGGAGAAAGGTTCGGGAACTCTTCCCAAGGCCTCCACTCTAAGCAATGAGAAGCCTTACGGGGTTACTTAAAGAAAAAGAATCTTTTCCCTTTTTTTTCTTTAATTTGGGGGAGGGAGAGGGTGAGCAGCATGGCACTAGCTTGGCAACAGGCAACCAAGGAAGGGGGAGGGGATCTGAGAACAGAGGACTGTAGTTATGGATTCTGCTCTTCAAGGTAGAGCGCTGTAACTGATCACCAGGGCCTTGGGTGCTCCTTCTGACTAATTGTGGCATCTCTGTGGAGACACTTAGTCTCTGTTTTCCTCACCTTTGCAACTGACTTGGGAGGGAGTGCGGAGAATAGCTTACAAGGCCAAATCCCCTACCAGAGACAGTTCTCGGCAAAGCTGGGCTAGGCTCCTCCCCTGCGTCTGCCTCACCCCTGCCAATGGGAATGCGGCAGGGCCTGGTGCCGCAGTGCCCTGGCTTTGCCACACCCGCAGCCCCATCCCGGGTCCACCTCAGAGTCCTGCAGCACCTCTCGGATCTCGGTTGGGTAGGCTTGGGCCTGGGCCCTAGGGAAGCAGGGTCTCCCTGCTCTCCTGACAAGGAAGACAAAGGGAATTGGGAGAGCGTAAGCAACAAAAGCCTCGTTTGAAAGGTCAAAAGGGAAAACTGAGGCCTATGGTCCTCAGAGCAACCTCCTGAGCCCTCCCTGAGGAGGTGGGGTTGGCCCTGACCTTGAGGTCCAAAGACACGGAAATCTACTTCTGGGAGTGGGAAGATGAAGCTGAGAACCCAGAGCAGGCTGGTTCTGATCTCCACCCTGGCCAGGAGTGAGCTCCAGGCAAAGAAAAGAGCATCAGAGCTGCTTCACCCTACAGGAGACCCGACCTGCAGGCCATGAGAGGAGGCTAGTGCCAGCAAAGCACCCAGGGTACTGAGGGTCTCACACTGTGTGTACACTCTGCACACGCTACAAGGTCTCTGCTGACTGCCCCATCTAAACTCTGCTAGAACCATCTTCAGACACCTCTGAGTCTCCCTTCTTCTAGAGGTTTCTCTTTCTCCACGCAAGCCCGCAGGCCCCCAGATCCCATCCCCTTTCCAATGTTGGGGGGTCCTGAGAGGTAAGTCACTGGGACCTGAGGCCATAAGCACTCTGAGATCCGGGGTCTTTTGCCATCAGGAGGCCCTGAGGCTCTCCACTTGACATCTACACAAGGACTCAGGAGTCCAGGATCTGAGCTGCACTGCCCACACCTAGCCAGTCCTCCTGGTCCCTTCTGTTTCTGGGAGGCCCAAGGGGCTGGAGGCTGGGGGTCGGTTGTGGCCCTCTGACATGCCCAGGGCTTGGTGCCTGCCACCCTGTCTCCCCATGAGGTCTTAGGGGAGGGGCCCAAAACTGTTTCCCTCGAGGCTCTGGTCACCCACTGTTAACATGGTAGCTGGAGCCGTGTGGGTTCAGGACGGGAGCCACTGGGCCCCGTTAACCCACCTCATGGAGAAAAAGGAATAAACGAAATTCTCACAAGTGAGAAAGGTACTCCAGATTTTTTTCTTCTTTGCATAAGACCTACTCCCGAGGGCCCACTTCCCCCTCCCCAGTAGCAGGGACAGGGCCTCCAAGGCATGAAGGGGCCACGATGAGTGGTAAAGAAACCAGCGGAGGAGGCTGCAGCTTGGCGGCCAGGATTCAAAACAAGAGCCTCACAGGAAATGCTCTGGCCCCTCTCGGCTCAGCGCTGGACGTGGGGCAACGTTCCTTTGGTGCGCTCGGTCTACGGTCAGAACAGATTTCTTGGGAGGTTCAGCCTAGGCTGGGAGACCTGCCGACTTGGTACCGGTCGGGCTCACTGCGGGGCTGGCAGAGGGTGGTGCGCACTCGGTGGAGCCCAGTGACCCCGCTAGAGAACCAAGGGCGTAGCGCAGACACCCGCCACCTGGCCTCCAGGAGGAAAATCGGGCTTTAATCCTCAAGAGATTTGCGAAGTCCGGCAGAACGCAGGAAACTCGGTCCTCACCTAAGCGATGGGGGTGACGGTGGGGGTGGGGAGGTTGATTAGGACACTGCCCGAGCCCAGCTCCTAATCGCTCTGAGCCAGTATTAGGGCCCCCAGACCCCCGCGGTACATCCATCCGAAGTGTAGGGATGCCAGAGTCTGGAGCAAGGGAAAGCAAGTAGCTCAGCCTGGAGGGCCCCGTGGAATCGAGCGATCCCTGACTCTGAGGCCGCACCCTCACAGCCCAATTCCTAGGATGCGCACACCCTTGAGGAGCCCGAGGCGCCCATCCAGTCGCCACTCAGATCCGAGGGGGGGGGGGGGCGGGTGCTCGCTAGAGCTAACAGGGGGGCGGGGGTCTCAGCAGCGTGCTCTAGGCTCCCAGGATGGGTGGCCGCGAAGAGGAGATAAGATGGAGGTCAGAGAACTGCTTCCCCTCCACCCACTGGGCGGGGCCGCCCTGGGGCCACAGAAGCGTTAACGACCAGCCCTGAAGCCCTGGAAGGTGGCTTAAGCCACTAGCTAGCTCTTGAATCACTACCTCGCCCCAGCCCACGTCGCCGCCCGCCTCGCACCTTGCGCTTCCAGCCTGAGTCCACCAGGGCGGCGAAGCGCCGGCGCGACCTCCGCGGGTTCCCCAGGGAGGTGCTTGGGCCCGCGCGGATACGCACCTCGCCGAACACAGTCCGCACTCAAACCACGCGGCCTCCCGGGGCCCGGGACACTGCGCTGGGCGCGCCGGTCTCCGCTGGGGGACCCAAGACCAAAGGGCCGCGTGCGCGCCCCCGACGGAAGGTGCGGGAGAGCCAGGAGGCTGCACTGCCTCGTCATCCCCGTGCGGCCGTGCGGAGCGGCCCCCGCCCGCCCGCAATCGGATTCTAGCACGGTTAGCCCCGGGGCGCCCGCCTCCACCGCCTCTTCCCCGCCCGGCGCTGGCTCCACCCGGCCCCGCCCCGGACACTCACCTGCGCCGGCTCGGAGTTGAGAGCACCGCCGCCTCCCAGCTCCGCACGGAGTCCACACGGGAGGAACCAGGCAAAAAGGGCCCTGGTTCAGAACGGGCCAGATGGACGGAACCTGGGCCGCACCCGGGTCGGGCCAAGAGGGACGCCCCGAACCTCCACAGCGCGAGGCGGGAGGAGGCGGCGCCCGAGCGCGGAGCCCGCGGGGGAACAAAGAGGAGCCGGGATGGGGCCGCGCTTCCTGGGTGTCGGGTGACAGGTCTGCTGGGGGAGGCCCCTGGCCGGCCACCTGAGGAGGAGCCACCTCCGCGCGGCAGGCGGGGTAGGGTAGGAGAGGCAAAGGGGCCGGAGCCTGAGGAAAAGGGTGCGCGGGATGCCGCGGACGGCGCGGCCGCTGAGAGACCTTCGGTTCCGGCGCAGAGGTGCAGACACTAGACGGAGTGCAGGGATAATGACTCTGGGAGGGTTTACCGCCCCTGAACCCCGCCCGCCCCCCCGCGCTGCGCCATTGGCTCAGGTGCCGGGAGGCGGAGGAGGGGCAGAGGGCGGACCCGGGATGGTTCACCTTGAATGTGGCTCCGGTTGGTGCACCGCGCAGGACACGCCCGACTGGGACTGCAGAGACGCTGGGAGCCCCGCCTGCTCGCCCTACCGGGCCGGGTCTAGTCCCAAGGGGTCTCGCCGCCCGCCTTGGGGCCCTGCCTCCTGCCCTCAGGCTAGGTGCCGCTGGCCGAGGTGCGCCCCGACGCCCTGCCATCCCACCGCCCTCAGCCCGGAGCTAGCCGAGGTGTGTGTAGCGCAGCGTACGTGGAAATTCGACCCTGGGCTGGGGGAGGGGAAGTGCGTTTGGAGCTGTGACGAACTCTGGGGCCACTGGACGGATCTCCGCTGTCTCCTCGGCAGAAAGGTTCGCAAGGCCGAGTTGTTTCAGTGGGCCCACCGGGACCCAGGGGTGCAGGGTTTAATTGGGGACGAGGGGCTCCCCGCCACGTCCTCACCCACCTATGCACGCCCAGCTCTGCGGCCTCACAGGTGTCTGGCCACGGCCGCCGCCGGGAACAAAGGCTGCCTGTCCGGGAAGGGAGAGGGGGAGGGGAGCCGCCCCCAGACCCGTTCCCATCCCCCTTCCTTCTCCCCACTGCGTCAGTGGCTCCCCCGAGAGGGGGCGGGGCGGGCCAAGGCCGGGGCGCGGACCTGGATTAGATCCTTTTCTGCGGTCCTTCGCTCTGATACCTCTCCAAGCATTCCGAGGGGCGGGGCAGGGGCTAGGAGACTCCCAGGCTGTCAGCGTTGGGGTGGCCTCCTCGTCCTTCCCCAGCATCCTGGGCACCAGTGCGCCCTCCCGACCCCCGCTGTTTTGGGCGTCCTTCCCAGCCCCAGCCCCAGCCCCGCCTTGCCTCCCCAGACGGCAACCACTGTCCAAACCAGATTAAATGAAACGTTAATCCGTCTTCCTTCCTTTCAGCTCCTAGTTCTCCCGACCGACCCCAGTAGGTCTGCCGACTGAGAAGCCCCTAAAAAGGAGAGTGCTTAGCCGATGTCCCCACCACATCTAAGGGCCTCTTATATTAAGATCGAAGACCGTTAGCACTCTCTCCTGGGCTCGAGCGAAGGAAGGGAGTGGCAGTGGCGATTACGGGGGGAGGGGAGTCTATAGTTCTCCCCACCCCCGCCCCTGCCGAGGCGAAACCTGCAGAGGGTGACGGTGCCGATACGAACCCTTTAATAGGTCCGATTCCTGGGCGGGGCCAGCTCCGCCCCTGGATGTTGCAGTCCGGAGAGGAGGCAAGACCCTTACCCCAAGCGAGCTGACTGAGCGAGTCTCGAGGCCTCGGTGTCTCTAAGCACAACCAGATATTCGTTCGATGCGCCAGGACAGGGGAGATCCTAAGCAAGGCACTGGGCCCAACACGCTAAAGGAGTGTGTGTGTGTGTGTGTGTGTTTGGGGGAGGGTCCATATTAACCCCTCTAGGACCCGCACGCATTCCCTGCCTAACCAGGTAGCCCCGAATTCCCCTGGCTGCATCCCCACACGCGCCCTACCTGGTCCCTGAGGGCCGTGGGATGCTGGATGGTAGGGCGTGGTGTGCCAGAAACTGCAAAGCCGGAGCACAGGCCACGCTGGTTGCAAGTGGCCCCCGCGGCCTGCCGCGCCCCTTTTATAGTTCGCGCCCCGCCCCCGTGCCTGGTGCGCCCCGCCCGGGCCCATTCACCTGCTGTTGAGAACCAGACACCGCTCAGCGCAAAGCGAGCCACCGACCAGGCCGCGCGGTCCGGCCGTCGGTGCTGGCAGGGTGGGGGCGCCGCCGAGACAGATCCAGTTTCCACCTTTTCTTAAATGCGCTGCTGAAAGTTGAGATGGCCTCGGTAGCCAGCGTTGCTTTCTCCCCCCGTGGCTCCCAGTGCACCCCAATGCCCCCAACTCCACTCTGGGAGGGGCCGCGAAACTACACCCGCAAGAGCCTCATACATATTTTAGGCAGCAGGCCGGGGCGGTAACCCGAGCTGGACCTGAATGGTGAGGGGGCGGCCCCCAGGAACCCGATACCCTGGATCCCTTTCTGCTTGGGGCACAAGTGGGGGAGGAGGTGGCTCGGGATGACCTCAGGTCCTCACTTTGTGGGCCTGTCCTGCGCACCCTACACCCTCCTGAATCCTGCCCTCCCTCGGAAGACCGCACTTCTGCCTGCCCCACAGAAGCATCCTCCTTCCACTAGAGAGACCCTTTCCGGTTCGCCACCAAAAGCCCACTCTGCCGGGAGCGTGCTACGCGACGTATAGTTTTGGGTTCCTCGACCCTCGGGCCAGGCTTAGGAAGCACTTGTCAAAGCTTTAGGAAGGGCTGCCTTGCCTACTCCAACCTGGAAGACCCGGGCGCCCCTCCCTCCGTCCCCGGATGGGGCCACTATTTCTCCTGGCGTCTCGGTTTTACTCTTTGGTCAATTAGTCCCTCTCCCCACTTTACTTCCCCAGTCCCCAACCTCGCCCTGTCCAATGCAGTCCTGATTTGTGCTGAAGATGTTGGGTGAAGAAGTCGTAAACCCTCTCAGTCTCCCTTCCCTTCCCACCTTATGGCGGCAGGACTGGGGGCGGCAGTTCTGTCACTGGCCTTGCTCAGGCTGGTCGCGTTCCTGTGCTGACCTGGGCTCTCCGCCCCATGATATGCGTAGCTGGCATCCCTAGTGAGCCGGAGCCCTGGATTCCGGTCCTCCCGCTCTTCAGTCACCAGCCTCTGTACGACCTCCAGCGATTCACTTCACCTCTCAGAGCCTCAATTTCCCCATTTACAAAATGGGTGGAATAACTCCCACCGCTGCGGAGAATAAACAGAAGGCACGTGTGGGCACGGGTATACTACCTGAGCGTACATCGACACATCGCTGTTAACTGTAGAACATGCGTTATCACTGCCACAGATCCTGTATCCCCGACCAAGCAACGCCTTCCGGGTGCCTGCCTCCCGCCACTGTATTTCTGGCTCCTGTGTTGCCCCTCGAGATCTCTCCACCACCACCCCACGCCCCGGCGCGGTCATGTGCTGGGCGCTTCCGGCCGCTGTAAGAGCTGCCCCACTGTTGTTCGGTCTAGGCCCAGACTCCAGACCTCTGGGCTTTGTTCTAGAATGTGAGCTCAGACTTGCAGGGATGTTCAAAACCCAACCAACTCCCCGACTGTTTGTCGAAAAACGGTGTGTTTGTGCGTCTGTGCGTTTTTCTCCCAGCGGCACGCGGTCTCTGTACCGTTCTTAAAAGGCCGGGAACCTGGAGATTTGGCTCCGGCTGCGGGGAGTAGATGTTGGGGGGAAATATAGGGGGGCCATTGGGAAAGAACAAATAAACAACAACAACCAAACCTTCCCCCAAGACAAACAAATGAAAGGCCACCCTGTCCAAGGAATCCACCCTGCTCTTTAAGAGAGTGGGAAAAATATATGGCTGTTATATATCCTGGAAAATATTTTGGATAAGTGGAAAACACTAAGGACATATAGGCTTCTGTGTGTGCAGTACTACAAATAGGAGTTGTGGTGGCTAGGTGTCGAGTTTTGTATGCATAGTCCCCCACCTGAGACCCAAGACAGCAAATAGGGATGACTTCCTTGTAGGAGAACTGAGGGCCAGAGGGCTGGAAACTTTCTTTTTGCTGGATGTCTTTCTGGAATATTTGAAGTGTGTATGCTTGTTTACCATATGCTTGTATTAAATCTTCAATTAAAATAAGAAACTGCAGGAATAGTTTGTTTTTTGTTTTCATCTGATTCGGGATACTGAAGCCTGGAGGGGTGGAATCAGAGCAGATGAGACAGACAGACAGACAGCTGCCAGTTGCAGCTTAGAGGGCAGGGAGTGGTGGGGGAGGGGGCACCCCGGAGTTTTCCTTTCTCCGCGTGCTCGGGCGCCGCCCGTGCATTTTTGTAACAGTCTCTCCTACCTTCCCCCACCAGGTGACACCCTTCCTGCTGAGTTTGGCCCGGGCGGCAGCTGAGGCTTGAGCGCCCACCCCAGAGGTATCCGTGACCAGTCACCGGAGAAGGCGGCTGGTGGGGATAGGGGACCAAGCACTAGGTAGGGTCTCAGGGTGTGAGATTGAGTCTAGCCTAGGTTTCTTCCTATATAGGATAAACTGAGATTACCGGAGCCCCTCCTTTAGGAAATGTGGGGAGATAACTGGCACGTGGCCCCTAGATAGGAGCCCTGACGGCCAGAGCTCAGCCAGGGTCTCGCCAAGGCTGGACATTTAGCCTCCCCACCCTCCTCACCGGGCAGAACCCGGCTTGGCAGACCGCAACCCTCCAGCATCCACTGCACCCTGCTGACACTGAGCCAGAGTGCGAGGCACCAGGTGCGCAAAACCCGGGTCCCAGCCCTGCAGCCCGGGAACCATTCCCCTGGCCTTAGGGCTGGGAACACCGAGGTCCTAAGCAGAGACTGTGTCTGCAGTTGGTGGAGAGGGGGCCCGCAGCCTTCAACAGATTATCCGAAGGTCGGTGACCCAGAGTTTGTTTTGGCCACTGACCATGTTTAACTTTCCTTGCCCAAAGCAAAATTTAGCTGAATACTTCGGTCCCCAAATCAGACAAACGCTTTTATTTCTGTTTTGGGATGCTTAAGGGAGTTGAGATTTAATTGTCTCAAATTAGAATAATCTCTATTTGTAATCACTTAACACGTATTTGTTGGCTGCCTGCCTGACCTTTCTGAATCTCGGTTTCTTCTGTAAATTGGGAGTTTGCCCAGGTCAAAGGACTATTGGGGGAATCGAATAATGAAAAGCAGCAAAGTGCTTTCTCAGAAAACAGTTTTCTTTCGTCCTGCGGCGGCCACCCAAATTCGAGGTGCAGCGAGTTGTCCGCCTTTCTCGGAGGAGGATGCGCAGCTCCCGCGCCGACATGGGACGGACTTTTCCCTGCTCGCAGGCAGCTGTGGATGGCGGTAAACTGCGTTCTGGGGTGTCGTGTCCTTTCCTCCCAGCGGGCAGCGTGTCGGGGTGCGCAGCCCGTGTCCCGCTGGGGCGGAGCCCGCTTCGCCGCCTTCGCCTCCTTGACCGCCCGCGCCCTTCCTGCCCCGGCTCAGGTTGCTCTCAGCCTCCGCGCCTTCGCGAGTGTCTCCTCCTGCTATCTGCCCTGGGGTCCGTTTAGTTTACCTCCTGCCCCCTCCGACTCTCCCAGGGCTACGGGATTTGTTTGATCCAACCCCTCGTTTTCCGCCGAAGGGATCAGTGCCCAGCTAGGCCCCGAATTGGGGCCAGAGCCAGGACCAGAGCCCAGTTCTCTGGCCACCTGCCTGGGGCTTTTCCCACTGGGCTGGGTCAGCGGGTCCAAAGAGAACTCCTAGCGCTGGCGGATTAAATAGGAAATGCTGAGGGACCACCTAGAGTCGGGGCCCGAGGAGCTCCCGGCCTCAGAACCGCCCATGCCCTCTGTGCAGGTTCCGGGCTCTGTCTAGGTTCCTAGGTCTCTACCGAGGGTGGGAGGGGACCTCGGGAACTGCAGAAATTTTCCTAGGGACAAGCATGAAGGGTGGGTGTGAAGCGACGGCTGGGATGCCTAGAAGGAGCGTTATCTGGGAGCCTCTGGCTGCAGGCTGACAGCCCCTCCTGCCCGGGAGATGATGCAGGGGAGAGGGTGGAGGATAGGCGAGCGCGGTTGAAAGGAGGGGCAGGGAGGTGGAGAAGGAGCGTTTTGGGTGGGGGTGGGGGACAAGACTGGGGCGATCAGAATTCCTGACGCTCTTTGATCGCTCCTGGAGTCTGCTCTCCACAAAGCTCCACCAGCGTTGGCTGCTGCGCTCCTTCCGCTCTGCTTGGCCCTCCTGAAACTGATGGCCCCTGAGGAGGGACTGGCTAAAGTGGTGGGCTTGCCCCTGGCGCAGCAACTAGGAGTCCTGCCTGAAGCAGAGGGGCCCTAACGAGGGAGTAGCCTTTGACCGTGTCACGGATGTGAAGCTGCCGTGAGGACCCTGTGCAGGTGGAACAGCCCAGCCCCCTGGGGTGGGCTGGACTGGAAGGGATGGCCTGACCAGGTCTTCAGCACAGTCCAGGGTGATGTAAAATCCAATCTCCAGGAGGACAAGGGCCACATCTATCTTGTTCACTGCTGTATCCCCATGTCAGACTCTCAGAAGGTGCTCCATAAATATGTTTGAGTGAATAAATGAACAGGAGTGCAGCCAGTAACAGCCAGAGTCCCACAGGGTGCCCCTGCGGCTCAGTGAGGACCATCTCGCAGAGACACTGGGCAGCAGATCGGACCCAGAACCTGGCTATCAAAGCTGGCTCATCTACATCACCTCTTCTCGCAGGGTCCAAGGCCATTTCCAGGGAGGCAGAAACTGATCGGTATGATTTCCAGGGCCCTGCCCTCCTCCCATTTTCCCATCTCATGGGCATGGACTTTGCTCCTCTAGCCTTCAGCTTCCTCATCTGTAAACTGAGAGAATTGAAAGGAAACCCAGAAGCCGTGTCTTCTTTTCTGAAGCTGATTCGAAAATGCTGTTGCTTTCTTCTTTCATCCCCTCATTTTTTTTGTTCAAGACACATGTAGGAAGTGTGCTGCAGCCACAGAAATGGAGACAGAGGAGCTGGGCTGGACTTGGACCAGAGGAATCCTGCTGTGCTAGGTATGACGATCCCACTGTGCTGGGGGTTGTGGAGCAGCAGGAGTC